TTCTTGGAATAATCAAGCGTACTTTTGACTAAGGAAAAGAAGGTAATGATTCAGCTGTATAAATCTCTAGTGTGCCCCCACTTAGATTACTGTGCCCAGGCATGGAGACCTCGTCTTCAGAAAGACACAGCTGCTCTGGAGAAGGTGCAACACCGGGCAACAAAAGTCATACCAGAGCTTAGTCATCTCTCGTACCAGGAACGGTTAAAAAAAAATATTCAGGTAAAAGTACATACATTGTTGAATGTACATACATGAATTACAAACATAATATTGGATTTATAGATAGAGCTAGTACAAACAATGCCTAAAGCCACTAATACGCAAAGCGTTTCGGGCAAAATGGTTCAACCAAAACCCCTGCTTTTGGTTGAACCCAAACTAACCAGTGCCAACCAGCCTGTGAAGCTGTGGTTGAACCTGTGCTAACCAGCACAGGGCTAACAACACTGCAAATCAACCAAGACAGGGCAGATCTCATTGAAACTTTTAAAATGCTGACAATTTGGAGGATGTTGATCCGGATATTTTCTTCAGAAGGTCAGATGTAACACAAACAAGGAGCAACAGTTTAGGCTCCACAAGCCACAATGTTGGACTGAGAACAAGAGATGCTTTTACACCCATGGGGTTATAAACTCCATGGAACCGCCTACCCTCCGAAGCCGTAAATTGCCAAAACTGCAATGAATTTCAAATATACCTGGGAAAGATCACTAAGGCAAATGGGGAGGGGGGGAAAAGGCCCTTCGATAAGCCGCTGGCTTCCTGTCCTCGTCGAGGCCACTAGGGTTAGAGGTAAAATCATGTAAAATAACGCTAAAACCAAACTTTAATATTCCTAAGCCTAGTATAGTACAAAGATATACTATACTAGGCCTATGATATCAAGTATTAAGCCTAGAATTGCTAGGTGAATATTTGGCCCAGAATATTCATACTCTGGTTAAAGAAAATCCGGTTTATCTAAATTCAATAATACCAAAGTGAACTTCTTGGTAGTTCATCACTACATATTGGTACCTCCTGGTGGTTCATCACTACATATTGGTACTTCCTGGTGGTCCATCACTACATATTGGTACTTCCTGATGGTCCATCACTACATATTGGTACTTCCTGGTGGAGCATCACTACATATTGGTACTTCCTGGTGGTCCATCACTACATATTAGTACTTCCTGGTGGTCCATCACTACATATTGGTACCTCCTGGTGGTTCATCACTACATATTAGTACTTCCTGGTGGTCCATCACTACATATTGGTACTTCCTTGATGTCGATTACACTATATTGGTACTTCCTTGATGTCCATCACTACATATTGGTACTTCTTGATGGTCCATCACTACACATTGGTACTTCCTGGTGGTTCATAACTATATATTGGTACTTTCCACCAAATAATTACAATAAATACTTTCACTTATGGAGCTGCAATATGGATCTTGCATCACCAGCTTTGCTCAAGGGTACGATTGCGGGTTTTTACGGAAATTGTTAATAATAAATGTGGTGTTATCTCAACAAAACTCAACAGGTGTGGATGGTGGCTTCCCAGCCAAGGTCCTCAGGTACTGAGGCGTTGTCGCCTCAGCGTGGACCGCTGCATAGTTCACACGAGTTTCACACAAGTTTCCATTTAATATACGAGCCTAGTTATCTGGTAGGTTCTCCCTTTACACTATACTTGACGGCATTTGACTCTTGGTCACAAGCTGATGAGTTTTTCTTTACCATATCTTATGTTAAGCTTTACCTTACTAAGGGTCCCTGGAAGACGACTGCCAAACAGCCTACAGCCAGGTCTTCAGTTACTGACGGGTGAAACGGGAAGAATCATTAAGGATTTGTCCGCTGACAGAGAAAAGAATTTATGTTCAGCTTTAAGTCTTCAATGCTTGGGAAAAATTGTCAAAAAAATATTAATATTTTTCTAGAAAACTTGTGAAAAAAGGGTCGTAAAAAAGTATATTTTTGTTCGGTAAATAAATATCAGAAAGAAAAACATAAACGCTTGTTTTTTGTTAATAGTTTAAAATATAATAATGCAACTCCTGGATAAGTTGTTGTTGTTGAGTTAGGGGCGACGACGATCGTGGGATCGGATGCGCCCCAACTCCTGGATAAGTTGATGCTTTCAGTTGAACAGGACGAGCGAATAATACCATTATGTTAGTAAATCTCAGTTAATCTAACCCAACTCTCCCCTAAAACAGTGCACTTACATAAAGAAAAGTGTGTAAATATTACGTACCACTTTGGATATGTATAACAAAGCCTAACTCTGTGCTTGTATCATAAACCTGTTTCAGTGGTTTTAATACATGATGAATGACGCTTTGTCAGAGAGCGTGTTTCTGTGTACCACTTTCACCACAGCTTTCACAGTTGTTTACTGCTGTAACTAAAGCGTTGGCAGTTGTTTACTGCTGTAACTAAAGCTTTGACAGTTGTTTACTGCTGTAACTAAGGTTTTGATCGTTGTTTACTGCTGTAACTAAAGTTTTGGCAGTTGTTTACTGCTGTAACTAAAGCTCTGACAGTTGTTTACTGCTGTAACTAAAGCTTTCACAGTTTTTTACTGCTGTAACTTAAGCTTTGACAGTTGTTTACTGCTGTAACTAAAGCTTTGACAGTTGTTTACTGCTGTAACTAAAGCTTTGACAGTTGTTTACTGCTGTAACTCAAGCTTTGACAGTTGTTTACTGTTGTAACTAAAGCTTTGACAGTTGTTTACTGCTGTAACTAAAGCTTTGACAGTTGTTTACTGCTGTAACTCAAGCTTTGACAGTTGTTTACTGCTGTAACTAAAGCTTTGACAGTTGTTTACTGCTGTAACTCAAGCTTTGACAGTTGTTTACTGCTGTAACTCAAGCTTTGACAGTTGTTTACTGCTGTAACTAAAGCTTTGACAGTTGTTTACTGCTGTAACTCAAGCTTTGACAGTTGTTTACTGCTGTAACTAAAGCTTTGACAGTTGTTTACTGCTGTAACTAAAGCTGACAGTTGTTTACTGCTGTGGCAGAAACTTTGACAGTTGTTTACTGCTGTAACTAAAGCTTTGACAGTTGTTTACTGCTGTAACTAAAGCTTTGGCAGTTGTTTACTGCTGTAACTAAAGCTTTGACAGTTGTTTATTGCTGTAACTAAAGCTTTGACAGTTGTTTATTGCTGTAACTAAAGCTTTGACAGTTGTTCTGACGGCGCATAAGAGCTCTGAACCAAGTGTACTGATGGCGTGTCAACCTGTCTCTAGGGACGAGCTACCCAGGAGGTAATCACTTCAAAAACACTACAGAATTAGTGCTGTTATTTACTCCTTATCCAGGGTTAGGTAGGTCAAGATTATGTTTGGTTAAGGTTAGGCTAGGTTAAGTTATGGGTTCGTTACGTTTGGTTGTGTTAATACCGTGATATTGTTCTGAAACTTGAAATATGAAATTAAAAACTATTTGAGTATCCTCAAGAATTTTATTTACAGAAAACCAAATTCTTCATTCTGTTTTAAAGAAAACAAGTTAAGCATAGACTTTTTTATATTTTAAACCAATGATTTAAAACACAATGAAGTTAGTTATAGTTCGTTTATTATGCACCCCATACCCATCTTGTGGGCGGAAGTGGAAAGGGTTACAGAGGCACATAATGGGCTCAGGGACTGAACCTCACAATTCATTTAGCTAAGCAAGTTACAATCTTGATGAGCTAGTTACAAAATTCAGTATAAGTCGTTACATCAACAATGGGTTCGAGATCGATCACAAGTACAGTTTCTAAATTAAGCAACTGACATATGTGGAGAGCTAGTGTCAAAATTGATATGTTTGTCCTGCACACCGCCCCCCATCCAGTGGGCAGCGGTGGATAGGTTACAATCACTTAGTTACTACCTACAGTTAGCAAACTGGGGATATTTGGTCAAGACTTCTGGCAGAAGATCATTTTGAATGAAATATTGACACATCTCTTGAACATTTATTAAAGAATTGTCTCTGAATTCACGTATCTTTTCGTACTCCATCACATAGTGACGGAGGGTGTGCGAATAATTTTGTTGACACAGTTTACAGGTTTACAGGTGGTCAGGTCTACATCAGCAGATAATGAGAATTCCCAGATACTTGTAACCGAGTCTAAGCCGAGCAGTAGTAACATCTAGAAGTCTGCTGATTTTATTGGATGAACCATTGATGTGTGGCTCCTCTTGCATGATAGTATGATGATAGATTGAATTACTGGTGTCGATTTCACTTCGCCTCAGATCTACAAGATCTTGTTGAAGTTCTTGGTGTACTGCTGCTCTCAGATTGCTCATTGACAATCCAAGGTTACACTCAACGGCTCCTTTAAGGCAGATTCTTTGGTACATGAAAATATTCTCTGTTTAATACAAAGGTTCACATCCAAGTTTACAAAGAGACTATTACTGGGACCATAATACTTTCAGACCATCATAATCTTTGTGAGTCTTAGCAGGTGTTTGGATGCCTCTGCAGGTTTTTTCTGAACATCTGTAAGTAATTGTGAACACCAACATATGCTTGTGAGCATCAACATACATTTTAAAGTATTAGCAGGTGTTTTTAAGCGTGAACATGTGTCTGATTGCCTCAGCAGTAGCTTGCACGCTTCAACAAGTGGTACTGAGAATCAGAAGGTGCTTGTGAGCAAATGCAAATGCTTTTGAGCAATATCAGATATTTATAAATATCAACATGTGTTTAGGAGCATCATTAAGCGTTTGCTAGAATCAGCAGAGACTTTATCAGCAGGCTTTTGTTAGTATCAGTATATGTTTATGCCTCAGCAAATGTTTGTGAGTACCGTAGATATTTATGAGCCTTAGCAGGAGTTTGTGAGCTTCGACGAACATCTAACAGCCATAAATGGTCTTAAGAGCTGGTCTTAAATGATCTTAAGCAGGGAGAAGTTCGTACAGTTTAAGAAGCTGTCGATTTTTAGGTTAATAGAGATTAATGGTAAAGAAACTAGCAATTTGAATTATTACAAATTCTTTGATAATCACGTTGTGTGTCTTCCGCGCAGACTTTTCAACAGCACGAAGACTGGACACTCAACTAGTGTCAGAGACCACGACCTCCTGCCTGCCTTGGACGCCGCCCTCGAAAAGAGCTTTGGAAGGGACACGTCGTGGAGCCTCAACTCGGACTTCAAGAAGAGAATGCATGATTATTCAAGATCAACTGGAAGGTTAAGGAAAGGGGTGAGGAGTGTTCTTGAGTAGATGGAAGGTTAAGAACAGGATGCAGAAGTCTTAGTATGCCGCTGGAAGATCAAGGACAGGAGGCAGAAGTCTTAGTATGCCGCTGGAAGGTCAAGGACAGGAGGCAGAGGTCTTAGTATGTCGCTGGAAGGTCAAGGACAGGAGGCAGAAGTCTTAGTATGCCGCTGGAAGGTCAAAGACAGGAGGCAGAGGTCTTAGTATGTCGCTGGAAGGTCAAAGACAGGAGGCAGAAGTCTTAGTATACCGCTGGAGGGTCAAGGACAGGAGGCAGAGGTCTTAGTATATCGCTGGAAGGTAAAGGACAGGAGGCAGAGGTCTTAGTATACCGCTGGAAGGTCAAGGACAGGAGGCAGAGGTCTTAGTATACCGCTGGAAGGTAAAGGACAGGAGGCAGAGGTCTTAGTATACCGCTGGAAGGTCAAGGACAGGAGGCAGAGGTCTTCGGGAGTGGCTGGAAGTTTGCCTGAGTGCCCTATGCATTTAGAAGGGTGTTGATGTCATCCTTGAGGGCTTCGGGATCTTGAACTGACGGATGGTAGCGCGAGAATGGCTTACCATCTTTGCCGATCAGAAACTTCTCGAAGTTCCATTGAATGTCTCCAATCGTGATGGGCTCATAAAAGAGACCAGAGTAGAACTCCGTGAACGTAGATGCGCAGGCACTCTGAATGGGACCAAGATGAACATTAGACAGTAACCACAGCACAAATAAAAGGTACATTTCTCTCCCGTTGAGTTCCAAATATATGATGACTCACCTTGAGGAACGTAAATAGCGGGTCTTCAGTGGCGCCGTTCACCTCAGTCTTCTGGAACAGCGTCATCAGGGGTTCGAACCCGTCACCCGGACGAACGTATTGAATTCCGTTCAAGATTTCACTGTTCGTTCCCGGCTCCAGCTGTGCACAGATTGGGAAAGCTTGTGAGCTTAAGGTAAGAGTTTCATAAATCGATTGTATGGAAGCTTGAGATTTTTAATGTATTTAGCGAATCCAGAGTTAGTATGAAACAGTGGTCTATGTTTCTAAATTCGTTTTTGTCTTAAATGTATTCTTTATATATGATTCTAATTTTTGTACATGAGTTCTCAATAGATTTACGGGTTTTAGACTATTTGAACGGCTGAGAATATCAGCCAGACTTGCCTTCAGAAACTGGTTACAGGGGAAGCCGAGGATCTCAAAGTCTTCGTCGACGTAGAACTCAGCCAGAGCGTTCATTTGGGTGTAGGTGGGAATGGTGCCCCCACAGTAGGTGGCCACGTTCACCACCAGCACCACCTGGGGGAGGAGAGGACACGTTACACCACCTGGGGGAGGAGAGGACACGTTACACCACCTGGGGGAGGAGAGGACACATTACACCAACATCACCTGGGGGAGGAGAGGACACATTACACCAACATCACCTGGGGGAGGAGAGGACACGTTACACCACCTGGGGGAGGAGAGGACACATTACACCAGCACCACCTGGGGGAGGAGAGGACACATTACACCAGCACCACCTGGGGGAGGAGAGGACACATTACACCAGCACCACCTGGGGGAGGAGAGGACATATTACACCAGCACCACCTGGGGGAGGAGAGGACACATTACACCAGCACCACCTGGGGGAGGAGAGGACACATTACACCAGCACCACCTGGGGGAGGAGAGGACACATTACACCAGCATCACCTGGGGGAGGAGAGGACACATTACACCAGCACCACCTGGGGGAGGAGAGGACACATTACACCACCTGGGGGAGGAGAGGACACATTACACCAGCACCACCTGGGGGAGGAGAGGACACATTACACCAGCACCACCTGGGGGAGGAGAGGACACATTACACCAACACCACCTGGGGGAGGAGAGGACACATTACACCACCTGGGGGAGGAGAGGACACATTACACCACCTGGGGGAGGAGAGGACACATTACACCAGCACCACCTGGGGGAGGAGAGGACACATTACACCAGCACCACCTGGGGGAGGAGAGGCCACGTTACACCACCTGGGGGAGGAGAGGACACATTACACCAGCACCACCTGGGGGAGGAGAGGACACATTACACCAGCACCACCTGGGGGAGGAGAGGACACATTACACCAGCACCACCTGGGGGAGGAGAGGACACATTACACCAGCACCACCTGGGGGAGGAGAGGACACATTACACCACCTGGGGAGGAGAGGACACATTACACCAGCACCACCTGGGGGAGGAGAGGACACATTACACCAGCACCACCTGGGGGAGGAGAGGACACGTTACACCAGCACCACCTGGGGGAGGAGAGAATACATTACACCAGCACCACCTGGGGGAGGAGAGGACACATTACACCAGCACCACCTGGGGGAGGAGAGGCCACATAACAGAGGCAGGCGCCAGGAGTCAACATGTTACACACACAGTAAAAACATCAGGTCGGGAAGGTAATGTAATATGCTTGAAAAACTTGGTGTTTTTCCACGTGTGATTAAATAATATAACGTCGATAAAATATTTTAGGAAATATAAAGTAATTAATTTTAGGAAATATAAGTAATTAAAGTAAGAGTGAACTTTATTGTTTAGCGATATATTTATTCTGCAACAAGAAGGTCCTGCATGTAAGTGATTTATGACACTGTGATGATACGGTTCTGGATGAGGATTTCGACGCTCGTTTAGACATAGACATTTTGAAAAATAACTTAAAGAATGGAACTTCAAAAACGAAGCCCAAATTTTTACCTAACGATGGCTAAAGTGATCTAACACTAACGAACCTCTGCAATAGTAACTACTCAATAATATAAAATTGCATTTATTAACATAAAAAAAAAATAATAACAGTGACTCAACATTACAATAATGTTAACAATGATAATATAACAGATGTTCTGGCAACATTGTCTGACTACCACAGACAGTTGATTGATTACCAGTTGATTGACAGTTGAGAGGCGGGACCAAAGAGCCAAAGCTCAACCCCCGCAAGCACAATTAGGTGAGTACAATTAGGTGAGTACACTACCTTCCCTCTGTACTCCTGGAAGCTCACGTCGGTACCATTTTCCAGCGTCTTGGCTGAGAACTGGTAAATGTCGCCGTCAACCTCGCCGCACTGCACGCGGGGAGTGATGTCTGCCAGCGCAGGGCACAGCAAGGCAGCTCCCAGCAGCACATTCACCAGTGGGCCCATCATGACGAATGCCTTCCCTAATCACTCTCAGCTGCACTTTTATACGAGCGGTCCGCGACCTGTCAGTGGCTCCCGTCGCCAGTGGTCCGCCTGCGTGTTGCGGGACACGCCTCTAGTACTTTTGTTTAAGACATTCACGATGATTTAGGCAAGCAGGTGAGAGCGTGGTGTATCCTCTCAGCGGTTCAACACGTGATCTGAGGGGTGGGAAGCGCTGATACTAGAAGGTATTGTAGTCCATTGCTGGCTTATCTCATGGGAACACGTCGAAGTCGTTATAGTCTCTATATTTAACGACTTCGATACCTTGCCTTCCCTGGTGTCCAGACCTCGCCATACAGCACATTATAACATCTCTACCAAGTTCTGGTGTAGAACAAGATAGTCGTGTATACTATACAGGATACACGACTATCATCACTACACAGTATACACGACTATCATCACTACACAGTATACACGACTATCATCACTACACAGTATACACGGCTATCATCAACTATACAGTATACACGACTATCATCAACTATACAGTATACACGACTATCATCAACTATACAGTATACACGACTATCATTACTATACGGTATACACGACTATCATCACTACACAGTATACACGACTATCATCACTACACAGTATACACGACTATCATCACTACACAGTATACACGGCTATCATCAACTATACAGTATACACGACTATCATCAACTATACAGTATACACGACTATCATCAACTATACAGTATACACGACTATCATCAACTATACAGTATACACGACTATCATCAACTATACAGTATACACGACTATCATTACTATACGGTATACACGACTATCAACTACACTGTATACACGACTATCATCGTTGGGTATCTGGGGCTTTGACTCAAATATGGAATTATTTAATTATGAAAATTAATATAATCGAAGAACCACCCACTATTGAGAAAAGAGAGAAAACAAATAAATAGATCATAAGACTGACACTATAGAAATAGTGCCTATGTATGCTAAATTATTTAACAATCACTTACAGAGAATGAATAGATGTATTATTAATTGATTAAAGTTAAAAGCCTCACATATCAACATTTGGGGGGGGGGGTTATTTCTAGAAGTTCATATATATCTAGGAACTAGTGTGGTTCGTCACCAGTTCATTAACGATGTTAGTAAATTAAATTGAATATGGAATGAATTAGGTAATAGTAATTACAGGCGAAATGTGCCTCAGGATACTACAATAATATAGAATAATATTACTAAAATAAAGGGTTAATAATATTGATCTCATATAGGAGATCATTAAAGTATCTATATTAGTTAGTATCTCTACAATAACAATTAACAGCTTAGCTGTGAAATTAAGTGAGATGAAATTGGTTGCCACACTCTCCTGACGACGTATTGCGTCGGACAAATTGTTAGACGTGAAGGTGGGGCAGCCTAGCGCCTCGGGTGACGTGGACCCGGGAGCTGGAAGGCAATTACAATGTTGAACTCTTCTACGTAACTAACTACAGATACATACGGAATTCTCCCTAAAATATCTATCACTGCAGAATTCTCCTGCAAACATTAATATAATATATTCCTATTTAAATTGCTAGAAATAAATATTGCTAGAGAGTACTGGATTTTTGTTGTAATGGCTCAGCCTAACGACAACTAACTACCCTAAAATATAACATGTGATCACAGTGTTACAAGAAAGGTTATTAATAGTTGCTGGGCGGAGTGTCCGTTGATGTAGGAACGATTCCAGGTCCCTCGTCTTCAGGTGCCATGATAATACGTCAATTATGGGCTGGAGAATTGATTAGTTCCTTGGACACTGCCGTGATGTGCCAAATAACGTGACACCGCTCTCGTGGTTGTAGGAGCGAAATTTAAAGATAATACGCAAGTTCCTTGCAATGGCCCTTCTCTGTTGCACGTTGGTAACGCTCCGCTAATATGGCGTCGTCCACACAAGTGGCGTCTCCTTCCTCCCTCCCTGGCTGCAATACGCATGCGCAGCCCGCTCAAAGTATTCTCGAGCTTAAAGTACTCTATTTTACTTATAATTAATGAGGGAAGTAAGGACTGGTGACAAGTGCTTATGTCACTAAATAAATGTATTAGGGTGCAATTTTACAGTCTCCGTGGTGTAGTGGTAAGACACTCGTCTGGCGTTCCGCGAGCGCTATGTCATGGGTTCGTATCCTGGGGCCGGATTCAGGAAGGTACTTACGAAGGTTTTTCCTCTTAGCTAAGAACGAATTCCTTCTTAGCGCCTTCGTGGCGGCTAGGTCCGTATTCAAAGAGCTACCCTAAGTGGAAAAATCTTCGTAAGTTCATTCCGGGATTTAAGTGTGGTTTCGACCACTCGTAGCTTTACGTAAACTGGATATAAGTCATTTTTTCTCTACTACATAACACTGGGATCGATTTATGATATTGGAACATGACCAAAACATTATAGCTGGTGAATCTAGTGAAGAGGAATCCTTCGTGTTAGTTATATATGCATTCTCTGCTTGAAACTTGAAGTAAATATGTGTTTGATGATAATAGAATTAGTTTTATAATAGCAAGATATTATACCAGTAGTTATTAAGTAAATAAACACTGGTGAACATGAAATATGAGAGAAGGTGATGAGCCCTGCCTGATGGGATCATTTACTATCACCAAATGCCCCTGTTCACCTAGTAGTAAGGGTGTACCTTAGCTATACATACCCATTTCTGATTTATTTAGTTTGGTTTTATTTTTAAATTAAAATCTGGGTGAGACATAAAATAAAAATATGCTGCACAAATGATGTTAGGTAAGGAAAAGGGTAAAAATGTCAAAAACTTTATTCATTGAATACTTAAAGCTATAATTATGACTATATAGATTATTAAAAAAGAGAGAGGGAAGTAGGGGTCCAAGACCTCTTCCTGTTATACAATTTGGGTGTGGAACAAGTAATTATCAAAAGAAGGCACCATGCCGGGAAGGCTATGTAGCAGTGAGGCAGCTACTTATTTGAGAAATGCTTATTTTATTTACCTTATAAGCTGAGGCAACTTATTTTATTTGAGGAATACTCAGCTGATTCCTCTTCATTTAGCATGGAACAAATTTGTGTCCAAGACCTCTTCCTGTTACTCAATTTGGCTGTGTGTAACCAAACTAGAGTGCTCTACAAATCAAGGGACCCAGAATGTGGAATGACCTCCCGAGTCATGTCAAAGGCTGTACCTCTCTCCACCAGTTTAAGAGTTAAACCAAGTACTGCCTAATTAACTCCATGTAACCTAACTTACCTCCTAAATGTCAACCCATGTCTTGCTATTTTTTAAACAACGCTGTTCACCAACATGTGCAATTGCTGATTTATGCTATGTTAACCCCCATTTTGTATTTTTTATTCCTTCTTTCAACACAATTTATACCTAATCCCGATTACTATTAAGTTTTAGTCTGTTTTTTTTCCCCCCACACCTTGCCCGAAATGCTAGAGTATTAGTGGCTTTAGGTATTGTATGTACTAGCTCTGCCTATAAATCCAACATTATGTTTGTAAATCAACTGTATGTACTTTTCCTGAATAAAATGTATTTATTATTTATTTTTTAATCAGTAAGTATTAAAAGAAGGCACCAAGCTGGGAAGGCTATGTAGCACCATTGTGTGTAACAATAAACCAAATTTTTTTAACAAATAATGCACCTGTATGGGAAAACAAATCCTGTCAGCTGTAAAAATATTGATGCAGTTATTTAAATGAAAAATATAATGAAAGAAATATTACTGGTTTATTTTTTCCTATCTTTTTGTACTGTACAGTATATCCAAGGAAGTGAAAAATTGAGACATAATGCACAATTTAATGAATGATTAGCATGGATTAGCAGTTCAAAAGAAATATGACTTGTATTACATATCAACATGAGATCTTAATGATCCATGGTCAACATGATTTAATAAGGATAATACAGTACTGTATTTGTAATAATACAAACTATAATTTAAAATCTTTATTACTGATTTTTTTTATTAAGAAGATTAGGTATACACAGCAATGTGCTGCTACCCTATTCTATATGGAATATTACACAGTGTAGATAAAAAACTAGCTATAAGTTTATCTAATACTCCCATCTCACAGGATGGTTAGACATACTGTACATGGAATCAATTTAGAAAATACCAGCCTCAATACAAAAAACAAATCAACTCTGACTAAACAACTCTAAGCAATTTTCACAAGAGGTAAGCACTGAATCATGGAAACATTATATTATAATTACTCTTACCAGTTTCTACAAAACTCCTCTCAAACAATGTATTTTTAAACATGTTTAGGTATACACAGCAATGTGCTGCTTCCCTATTCTGTCTAAAGGACCACACAGTGTAGATCAAAAACCAGCTACAAGCTCACCTCACAGGATGGCCAGTCATACATGGAATTAGGAGAGAACAAAATACTTAATGCTGATCTATTAGCCTCCACTGGCAAAATCTGGGTGCAGCACAAGAATATCTTCCAATATTCCTGAGTGTATGAAGTAATTACAGAGCTCAAAATACCTCATACCATTTGGTATGAAGTCACTGATAACAGGACAATCACAGATATAGTGTTGGAGAGTATGTTCTCTCAAGTAGGACTGAAAACAGATGTTTTTTTTCCACCAAGAGGGCTATAAACCCATGGAACCGCCTACCCGCTGAAGCCGTAAATGCCAAATTCCAGCTAAAAAATATAATTAAGACAATTGGCGGACCCTTCAACAAGCCGCCGGCTTTCTGTCCTCTTCGAGGTCAGTAGATAGTTAGTGGCCCTTGGGTAAATTCAGTAAATATATACAATAATTGTCAGCGCATCTTCCGAGCAACAAGGACAGCTACACAGTATCTCTTAGAATTACGTAGGTAAACAACAAATGTAACATATTTGTTTACTACAATGTCGGTGCTGGCTGTAGAAGTTGAAAAAACATTGTTTTACTTCGAAATATACTAATTTTATAAGAAAATTCGACGTAAATAGGAGGCAGTAGAGCTGCGATAAGCCAGCGCTAAATCTTCAATATGAAGAATGTTGCTGCTCTCTGAT